TTCAATGGAATTGCACCAATTCTAACCAAAAAACAAAATTTCCAACTTTTTGACTTAATTTTTACTCTAATTTAAGTCATTAGGAACCACTTGCATCAAATATAGTTAAGACGCTAACTACAAGTTAATTTAACTTGCTATGCAGAGTTTCCAACATTGACAAATGAATTGTTACTTTATAATTGTCTGTCAGGCTCAAGTTTAGGTAAAATTTAAAAGTTTTTAATTTAAGTTTGTAATCAAATTTGAACCGGGATAGTTTTTTTACAAAAATACAAGCATAAGTAATAAAATTTCCTTATTAGCATAGAATTTTATATTCCAAAAAAACAATTTACCTAATATAAATATTAAAAAATTAAATATAAATAAAATAAAAAACGAAAAACTGATCTTGATCAGTCAGTGTTGTGATTTTTAATTTCCAGTTGCTTCAGCTTTACACAAATTTGGTTTAAAACTTAACTTAATTTCAGGTTTGTTTGTGACAAAGGGTTTTGAATTGAAGTGGATGGCTATTATCAATATTAATAAATTTATCGTATTAACGATGTTGGGGCGAAATTAGCTAAATATTTTAATGGCACGGCGTTGTCGTAATATAATATTAAAGTTTGAAATAAATTATTGCAAAGTGCATTTGCGGTAGATGCTCAAGTTTGTGCTTCTCAAACAGTGTTTAAGTTAGTCCCAAAATATTTACTTTCCAACCAATTAATTAATGATTTTGAAATTCATTAGTCTTGCTGTTGGGTATTTTCGCACCTGCTGTTTGGAATTAATTTCTCCTGACGTTGAAACGTTTTTCTTCTTCTTCGAGTGTGTCAATAAATTTTTGATGTGCTGCTAAAAGGTTAAACGGGTCACGTTTGGCTCGGTAAGAAAAAAAATGTAAATTGAGGTCTAAAAAAGTATATTTTGACTTTTATTGCCGAAAGATCGGTGTATGTCTGCGGAGTGATCAATTTTTTCCTGTCTATAGCAAATAACAGGGGAAATAAAATGTTGTAAAGTCTCATAAAAAATTCACTTATGCCCCATCAAATATTCCGCAACACCTAATTTATTTCCCCTCGAGTAATTTCGTGAAAAAGACCAGACATCAGTAATTTTCAAGCCGCGACTCGAGACAATTATTGCGCAACTCTCTAAAACTCAAAGCAAATATTTTTCGGTTGAATTTTTAATGAAAACGAAATCTTGAGATGCGCGGAATTTTTATGAAATTTTCAAAGTTGCACTAGTGTGCTCATCCTCCAAAAAGCTGATTAAGAAAAGCTTTTGAAAGCGTTGTAAGTTATTCATGAAAGCTCCGTACAACTTTTAGGTAGCTATATAATAAAATGAGTAAACAGAATTCGAGCTTTGTTGATAGATTCGTTTAAGAAATTATCCTTCCGTTTGTCTTACTGATTATGTTTTTGCTTGTGTGTGAAGTTTATTGCCAATCACGAAATTGTGTTACCGCACAATTCTTTCTCTCTAACTATTTTGATGCCAGAGGCAAAAAACGCCAATTTTAACGTCGTTTTAATCATCGACAAAAACGCATAGCAAGATCACCGATCAAAAATAAATTATGCAAAACTGACGGACAAAAAGCCAAGGGTTCGCAGTTTATCTCGCTTTTTACCTTTCAGATAAAGCAGATTTCTCGCCTTACCAATCGGGGCCTGCTTTTACAGAAATAGGCTCAGTTTTACGACAGAATTGATTTATTCCAGCCAAATCACAGAATTATTTTATCAAAATTTCTAGCCCGGCGCATCCACCATTTTTGCATCAACTCTAATTAAAAATTTTCATTTTTTTGCAGCGTAATTAAACTGTCACGAGCATTTAATTTATAACACACATTGTTAGCCGTGTATTTTTTTAATATTGGCTGATAATAGCTTTGTGGTGAAATGAAACGATTTATAACAATGATCCTGTTTTTGGGACGAAAATAAACTTTTTCCGTTCGAACGAAAGATGAGAAGACAGGTCAGCTACAAATAAGTAACAATGTGTCGCAATATTGTAGATATTGTTCATTCCCTTGTGGTTCATGACACGTGATAGACGCTCAAAGGACCTAGATGCAGGCTTTTCTGTGCGGTCTGCTGCGTCTCCGCACACCATTGTTACCAACTCCACAATAACACAATATGAATCCACCCAGATTGTGTTACAATACCGCGGGCCATTACAACGGCTTTGTTCAAAATTGCTTATTTCTTTCTCCGACTCGATATCACATATTTTTACCAAATTAATTGGAAATTCCTAAGGAGGTCGCCAAGACTAAGTCAAACCGGCAAACTTTCATCTTCTCTCACAAAAGCCAAACAATATTTACAAAAAAGTAGGTTTAAAGTTCTATAATTTAAAGTTTCGGCACTAGTAAAGCAAATTACGTGCCATTTGTTTAAAGTGGATGAAGACTATCAAAATAGACGTTGCTATAAACTATACTAAAACGTGTTTAAGGTTACTTCACTTTTATTTAATTAAAATTTTATAATTTCGAAACAGGTAAAAATTATTTCTTGAGAAAAAAAAACTTTACATCTTTTTTAATCACAATAATTTGCAAAGTTTGAATAAACAAAAATTGGATAACTTTTTTTATAAAGCCTAAATGTAAAACGTTGACAAATTTTCAAAAAATTTTTAACAAAGCATCGTCAGAAACTGGTTACAAGATTTGTAAAAGTTTACCAAATAAATAATATAAAACACTTAAAACACATTAAAATTAAAAATTACAAAATTTGTTTTGATATTATTTATAGTACCTAACATTTAATATGAGGTATATAATGTACAATACTATGTTTTTTTTTTGACAGAAATATGAGAAAATATCTTAAAGTTTAGATTAATGATAGATTTGTTAATAATTATTTTCCGTTAATGGTGGTTTTGTGATCAAGAAATTAAAATTGTTGTCAGACTTGCAGCAAATTTAATTCTCTACATCTTTCTGTTATAATTAAATATCTACTAATTTGATTTTTTTATAATACTTGACCCTACTTTAATTTACATTACACTACTTTTGTTGTATACTTGTTAGTTTAAAGTTTGTTTTCTTTAAATAATCAATTGTCAAAAAGTTATTAAGTTGGCAGAAGTATCATGGTGAATGTCAAACATTAAGATTGGTTTTTAGTTAACAGTTTTTAAATAACATGTATAATATGTCGCAAAGTTCTAGAGAGTGAAATTGAGATATAGCTGGTATATAAGAATGTTTTAGGGTGATACAACATGGTTTTTTTAATTATTTTGACATAGACAATTTTGTATAAGAAATTATAGAAAAAGTTTTTCTGTCTTTTAAATTTTATATTTGAACCATCAAAAGTGTATTATTATATTTCGAAGTCATTATGAAGCAAGGTGCACTTATACTAGTCTTTATTAAACAAAAAAAAGAGAGAAAACGAGAGAAAATAAAGGCTTTTTAAAAATAAATTTTATAAATTTTAATACGTAAATAACTTCTCGACATTTTTTTTATTTTTCCATGTTGTTATGGTATAAATCATATTCTACAATTTACAGTCGTTAAGCTGTCAATATCACCCTAGTATCACATAGGACTGTTAAGAGGTTTTAACAGCCCGACTCGTGCTTTAGAGCCCGCTTTTTTAACAGTTTAAATCTTAAAATACTGCCAATTTAAAAAATTAAGAATTATTTTTTCAATATGGTAATTTAATACGACGAAAAACTTTGTACGCACCACCTGCTGTTAGGGGCCATACCTTCCTCGGCTGTTATGGCCTTCTTAACAGCTCTGAATACGTAAATAACTATTATGTTTCTGGTCAAAATGTGGTTTTTTATGTTACAAGAAATGAAAATCAACACAAAAATGTTTTTGGATTTATTAACCAACATGAAGAAACACGAATTTGAAACAAAATAGTCAATTTCAATAAAATAATTTTTAATAATAATAAAATAATTACTTTATTGATTAGTTAAATTAAACTTACAATGATAAAATATTAACAAAAACAACAAGAACAAATTCAATTACAAAATTGCAAAAATAACATTTAATGTTTGAAAGCGCTATTCGTAAATGTCACTGAAATAGTATTTTTTTCAGTACATTTGTCTACTCAAAACTACAGCAAAATAAATAAATAAATTAATAATTTTAATTTTCACAGGCAAATTATGTTAGGTTTGCAATATAATAATAATAAAAAAAATAATGTTTTAAAAATAAAAAAGAATTTGAGAATTATGATTAAGAAGTTTACTAATAATACAAATTTCCTAATCAATTAATTTCTTAATTCAAAGTTTATTCACCTGGTATGTTGTGCAGTGTAAGAATTTCAGAGTTACAATTTAAATGATAATCATTGATGGTAAAATTTATTGTTGTTTGATTCAAATGGTAGCAAAATATCGAGAAGAATGTTATGTTTGCTGAAATGAGTATTTTTCGCAATAAAACAAATAATTCAGTCCAGGTAATGTAAATATTTGTTTTGGGCAAAAAATAGCAATTTATTCGCGAGCTGTATCTTTAAAGGTTTTTTCTCTAGATGCATGAATTAATTTTAAATTCAGTTAAACAAAGTCCGGAAATTAAAATTTAATCAAAATTTTGGTTACAACAAAGTATGATATTTCTCTATTTTCCTCTCATTTATATCACATTATTTAGGTGTTTCCTGTCGACGATCGAATTGGCGGTCTTAGCATACATCAGTGAGGTTCATTCGCCCCCAAATCATTCAAATTCCCTCCTTTTATCTCCCATCCGTAAAATTTACGATCAATATAATTCGCACCTCGCCGCCACAATACGTGCGATTCTGTTATCAGATTAGCAACAATGTGGGCCTCATAATATTTCCCGCGCTTTTAACCGCCCGCCTATCACGGCAGTTTTTCTACGACTTCCATATTTTGTCGCTTGGAAATTGAAGCACAAAGCCGTGCCGCAACCATGTCAAAATTGGTAAAAAGCTTACGTTTTTATTTTTTAGGGCCGCCTGCTGGGGAAAGTGGATGCCTACTTTAGTTCGTTCCGCAGATGCAACTATCCCAGAGTCAGTCCACAGGGGGTAGTTGAGATAGTGCAGGAATGTGGACGGTATTCAAAGTACGTATTTAGATGTTTTGCAGGATTTCGGCGTGCCAAGAGAATAAAAAGTCGAGGGGATTTTTTCCATGTCAAAGCCATTATTTCGATCGGTTGCGAACTTGGAAAAACTAGAGTGGTCCACTTAAAAGTTGCCAACTTTGTACTTAGCATCGTTAGGAGATTCGCTGTTTGTAGTGAATTTCTCTGATACAAGCAATTTACGTTAATAGAATCACGGGATTTTTCAATACCACGCAAAAAAATTCATAAAAACCACGCTTTATCACAGTTAGGGCAACTTTAATGTGTTGCTGTCCTAAGTTAACAAAAGATTCAGATATATTAGGCTCGTTGGTGACGTTAGTCGAGGTTCAAATTTAACTTTGGACCAACAAAAAATTCAGCTTTGCATCAACGCCTTTAAATGTGTAATATTAAATTCGCAAATAAAAGAGAAAAAAATTAAAGAGGAAGAGATTGTTTTACTGCCTTGTAAATGGTGCACGCGATTCTGTCTGCTGTAAAAAAAGATAAGAAAATTGTGACTTTATGCCACTTTGTTATCATTTTTTTAAATATGAAATTGTAACTTTAACAAAAGGCGAGAGCAAATGGTCTGAGATTTGACAAACGTGTGATAAAGTAGGACGCCACTTTACACGTTTTGAACTACAAAATGTTATAAATTGCATTCAAGAAATTGCACGTAAAATAAAAATATACTCTTGAAGAAAAATACATTTAATGTTTTATATTATATAGCCCTCCAGAAAAATCTGGCTACAATCTACAACAGAAATATAGATTCGTATCTTAGTCTACTTTATTTTTATGTTTCTTATAATTTTTTTAACCACATAAATATCCTCTTAAATTCTGACGTTTCGCACTTACGTATTATATCTTGTTTTATTCTTATGTTTACGTTTTTGATTATTTTTATTCTACATTTCAATAAATTTAACATAACTGATTTTTTTTATTAAGTTTAACTGTTTATTGTGGTCCTACGGTTAAAAATTTACGCACTTACGTTTACAGATTTTCATTTTGGTAATAATTATTTGTATTACAACGGAGGAATGTGCATTTTTTTAACAAGTATAAGAAGAATTGTCAAAATTAGTAACCATCATCATCATCAGTGTAATAAATATAATTTTTTCTACGACCTAGAAAAAAAATTCAAAACTAACAATTTGTCTTGGTATCTCAGTATTGCCATTAGATCTTGCAGTATGTTTTTCGGTTTTTAAAAGAAAGGTAAAAAAAGGTAAAATTTTTATTTTCCTGGAAGGTAAAATTTTTACCCCTCTAAGGGGTAATTGACCACTTTTCTTTCTTTTTAAAGTGGAAAAACTTACTTTTTGTTAGGGTTGTAGAAAATAGTTATTTGTATTACAAGGAACGAAAATGGCTTTTTTTCCTCGCGGGAGGAATATAATTTTTCCTACAATCCAGCAAGAAAAAGTTCAAAAATAACAATTTTTCTTGATATACCAGTTTTGCCATTAAATCTAGCAGCATGCTTTTCTGTCTTTAAAGGAAGGTAGAATTTTTAAAGTAATTTTGGCAGATGAGGGAGGAAAATTTTTACCTCCCACGGAAGATAGGTAGTAATTTGCTACGCTTTTTTCTGAAATTAAGGTAAAAAAACTGACTTTACATTATTAGGCTTGTAGAATACTATATTATATCACACGGTACAAAGGAAATTTTTATAGCCCAGCTGTTTATTTCCCGAGATGAGTAGCATTGGGAGAAATAACAAATGCGAGGCTAAAAAATCTTCTCTACCGTATTTTATATAATATTTTTTTCACTATTAGCACACTTATTACCCAGAAATACAATAATGAAAAATATAACCCTACTTAATGGACATGTTGCCTCAGACGTAACATGTCGTTATTCACAACTACTATTTTTGTTAATTCACTATTACCTACAGTAATTAATTACTTACTTACACTACCGAAAATATTTTAACAAGAAATATATCTATTTGTTGTTATGACAACTAGTATTGACAGAAGTTTAGAGTTGGGGTTATTCTGATGTTTTAAATGAGGAAATTTAAGTTTTTTTATTTGATTTTGCATTAATTTTATCTCGAAATACTTCCGTTAGGACTTCTTCGATAATGAAAATGATTCGGAAAATGATTATTGACTAGTAGGAGAGAAAAACAACATCACAACCTCTCGACAAACTAAATAATGGTATCTTTTACAATTAGTAGTGAAAACAAAAAATATTATTAACTTATTACCGACTTGAAAGTTATTTAATTTTAGTAATGTTTTACGCTTTTCTTAATTTTTTTTGACCGCCCAAGTTTTTAGTCTAATTTGTTAATCTTGCTTTTTAAGTTTGCTTTTTTCTAAATACGTTACTTAACTTTACGTACTTAACTTTTTTTACATTATGTACTTATTTGCTTAGGTATTTTTTAATATTAGTATTACAAACAGAAAAATTACAAAAATACAAATTACATATTCGAACATTTCTCAAGTTTCTTTACCTCCTTTTCTTGTGGTTTTTTAGACTACCAAGCCCTTATCGAGTGTTTCTACCATTCTAACAAAAAATTTTGAAAATTATTTTTGTGTTTAACATTCATTTTAAGTGCTTTGTCACTATCTATTGAGCAATGCTAGAAATGTAAGATCTTAAATAAAATACTTAAAAACGCATTGCTTTAATTAAAAACATAAAAACTACATTTATGGAAACTGAAATTTGTTGTTGCTAATTAACAGACAAGTGTGTTTTTGGCATTGTTATAGATATTTTGATGTTTTCCAATTTTTGTTTATTTTAATTAGTTTTTATTCATTTATTTTTTAGTAGCAAATAAAAAAGTTTTTAAAGACATTAATTGCTTTTAAAATACGTTACACATTATATTTAAACAGTTTTTTTATTAATTTGGATAATAAAATAATTGGAAAATAACTTGGTTCGTTTTGCCTCAACATTCGATTATTTAATCGATCCTTTCTGGAATCAAAGTGTCTATTATCAGGACACGAAGATTGATGTAACCATTAATTTCCAGCTCTTTGCATGCGCACCTCAATTTATTTAAAAAGCTTCGTGCAAGTGGCGTTTCCTCCCGATTCAAAAATTGAAAAAGTTGCAAGGATATGAAGTCGTTTTGGATTTTTTCCACACTGCTTGATCGCTCTCAGTCAATTTCGTGGCATAGTTTTGCGGTCGTTTTTTCGCCTTGATCCCTCGGTTAGTGTTTAACCCGTCGATTTGGTAAACGAGCAACTCCACCCAGTCCGTTAAACCTCAGATAGTCGTTTGGTAATAGTTCCGAAACCGAGTGAACACCCAATTTGCCTCAGTTATTCCGGCCGTGGATAGGTGAGGAAGATAAGACCGATGCGGTCGGAATTATGAAGTTTTCGTGGACGTTCTGCACCCATGAGACGGTTTAATAACCCCGACATAATTCCAGCATTAAGCTGTTTCGTTTCAATAATACGTGAGATGGTGGAAAGCTTGTCGTTCATGTCAATATTTCAATTAAGCAACGCTCGGAAGATTTCAGAATGTCGTTGTTGCGAAATTCCGAAAGCTTGCCATTGTTCTTGACGAGAGGAAGACTCCCCCGATTGTTACACAAATAGTTTAATCTCCCGTACAATGTCCGTATTGATGTGAGCTATAGCCAGTTCGTACTGATAACAATAATGTCTCACCATCTCGTCATATTCAGAGTGTCAGATGAAAATTAGCTAGGGAGTAGATCGACAGCGATGTTGAACCGTCTTTGAATAGCGCTACGACTTGCAGATAATAGCAACCCGAGGATAACGACGATACGATGATTCAACTAAAATGGAATCAGGGAACGATTTTTAATTTAGAAAAGCTGTAGAATTATTTTACATTTAATATTTTCGAGCGAGTCAACCACAGTTTATTTCACCTCCTGCTGATTTCAAATTACAAAGTAAAGCACCATCGTCAAAACTGAAAAATGGTATTACTGACACAGCTGCTATTGCCTATTAAAATAAATTGTTGCTTCGCGGGGAGCTGTTTTAACGAGATCACTCTTACACAAAGTGAAGTTAAAAATTGTTAAAACGTTTAGTTTGTACTAATGTTTTATAAACATGAAAGCTAGGTCAAGGAGCTCTGGAATTCTAGAATTAGTTGTGCAAATTTTAGGAATTTAATCGAAATTGCTTGGAATTATTTGTAACTGTTTGAAATTATTAAAATTATCTTTGGATTCTTTAGAATTACTACAATTATTTGTGAATTACTAAAATTCTTTTTAGATTGTTAAAGATAATTTAATTACGTTCTTAGAACTATCGGAATTAATTTGGAATTACAGGAATTAATCTGATATCAATGGAATTACGATGGATTATTGAATTAATGAAATTTCGGCGGAATTTTTTGAAACTGGAATTAGTTGACGATTTACAAATCACTTTAGTTTGGCCGAAGAATAGTTTAAGCACTTATTTTGTTGAAATATATTGCTTTACAACGATTTCCAGTTAAAATCGAGCCAAATCGATTAAAAATAGGTCAAATTGCTTTATTTGTATTGTAAACTAAGTTTTAAGCACTTATTTCGGTGAAATACATTGATTTGCTTAAAATCGAAGCAAATCGATTCAAAATACATAGTTTAAATTGCTTTATTTTAGCCGACAACTGCGATTTGAACAATTATTTTGTAGAAATACATTGATTTACAACAATTTTTGGCTTAAAATTATGCCATTAAAAATTGCTCAAATCGCCTTTATTTTGACAAAACTGGCAATTAAAGCACTTATTTTCTTGAAATACAAATTTACAATGATTTCCGACTTAAAATCAAGCCAAATCGATTAGAAATTGCTCAAAACGCTTTATTTTGTCCGAAAATGGCGGTTTAAGCATTTTAAGTTAACAGCTTCTCGGATAGGTATTAAAAATAGTTAAATAACCTGCATTTTATTTATTAGACTTGTGGAAAATTTCAATTTATACTTTTT